ATTTTTAAAAATTTAAAAAATAACTCTTCAAAGCATAAAAATTTGCTCCTTAATAATTAGTAGATGTGAAAAGCATTACCACTGAAATCTACCTGATGACTTTATATCCATGCTCAGATGCCAAGGAGCTGAGAAATTAACTGTCACTAGTAATAATCAGTATATAGAGATTAGAAACGCATGTGCAAATGTCAATTGCATTGAAAATTTATTTTTCTGTATTAAACTGTGTATTTTATTAATGAAATTGAGATATTTTTTAAAGGTTAAAACCTCATTTAATTTTATGTCTTATAGGGTTTATACTGAGTAAAATATTGTATAGCTGTAACAATTCAACTGTAAACCTAAAAATTTACTGCCGATTTTGAAAGATATGCATCTTAGCTCAGGAAATTGTTATTTAATATGTCAATGCTATTGTAATGAAATGCTTCTTCTAAGTATGTGGTTATTAAATAAATAATAAACTGGAAAAAAAGCCTTTATATGAACTTACTTTTTTTTCTTTTAATATACAAGTAACTTTATTATGGTTTTACATTGTAAAATAAAATTGTCCAGGAAATTAAAATACAAAACAACTCAATAATAGACTATGATAGCTAATTAGTTAAGTCAACAGTTGCCAAACAAAATCTGATAGAAATCACTGCCTCTACAGTATTCTGAGTGTGAAGAATATTTAACAATTTTCAAATGTGTGTAATATATAATCATGCTTATAAATTTATGCTTTAATGAGAAAACTATATTAGTATCTCATGTAAGAGTAATTTTTTTCTTCATAATTGAAAGTTTCAAGATCTAAGAGAATTAGATTTAGAAAAAGGTGATGCAGCTTTCAATTAAAAATTCTAACTGTAAAATTAAGTCTGTAAATGAACTCACTTTTTAAGTGATTATAGTTAAAAAAGCACATCACATAATTTTTTACCATGTTAACCATTTTCAAGTGGCCTGGAGAAAACACTCACAGGACTGTACAGCCATCTCCTCATCCACCTCTAAAACCTCATCTTCCCAAACTGAAACTGTCCCTGTGAAACCCTGCTTCCCTCTCCCCGCCCTCTCACACGATTGCCATTTTTTCTGTGCATCTGCCTGTTCTGTAAGGACAAGATTTGCATGTTTGCCTTTTGCGTTTTTACTGTCTCATTTTCTGTGTTTATTTTGTCAGTGAGCCCATCTTACCCTCACTCGTGCTGGATAAGCCATGGGACCAGACCGTCCCGTCTCCGTGCCATTGCCCATCGTTCTGAGAGAGTTGAACCCTCTCTGTGATGACCTGCTTCCTCCAAGTCATCTCCCAGTACCACCCGCTCCCAACAATGCTATCACAATACGGAGTCGTCCATTGACGAAGTCAAGCCCTCAGGATCTCATCACTTCCCAACAGCCCCACCTCTGAACACTAAACTGGGATCAGGCCTTTAGTACAGGAGCCTTGGGTAGGCAGTGTAGATCCAAACCACAACATGACCTGTGTGTGGCACATGTTAATTATCTTTTTAAAAGTAGTAAGGTTTTTGGGCTGGACAGATGGCTCAGCAGTTAAGAGCACTGACTGCTCTTGCAGAGGACCCGGGTTTGATTCCCAGCACCCACATGGCGGCTACGAACCTTAACTCCAGTTCCAGGGGAATCCGAAGCCCTCTTCTGACCTCTGCGACACTGCATGACATGGGTGCACTCACATACATGAGGCGATACACTCATACACATAAAATAAAAATAATAAAATTTTTTTTAAAGTAGGAAGGCTTTCAAATTCAGTTTTGAAGGAGAAAGAAAAGGAGGGTGTCTGCTGGTGTCAGCATGGCTCTGAGGGGGTTGGTGGGAACTGGCCTCTCCTCTGCCACGTGAGGGTCGCAGTCCCCTTCTCCCCTTGCATTCCTGCCCCTGCGGAGCTCCCTCTTGGCTTTGTCTTTCAGACCCTGAGCCCTCAAAAGCATGCCTTTGTTTTGGAAGTTCTCTCTGGCTGCCTCGAGTATGAGAAGTTACTGACCATTGTGGTGGATGCCTTCTATGTGCGGGATGGCCAGCTCTGCCTGTGGGCCGACTACAGCCTCTTTGAGGGTATGTGAATCTACCATCCACATGTCTCTGAGGCCCAGGCCTACTACCCACTCTAGAGTAAAGGACTAGAGAAGTGTCCAGCCCAGACCCTGGACAGATTGTCCCGAGAGAGGCCAGCCAGCAGACAGGCAAGCCTCAGGCAGCTCCTAGCATTTCTGCTCAGGGCCCTTTGCCTCACTTGATCCTCGGGAACCCATAAGTGTATAGCCCAGGTTGAGTATATTTCTCACCTCTCAGGTGAAGAAACAGCCCTCAGGCCTTGAAAGGCTGGTGTCTAGGCCCTAGTACTGAGCCCTGGTGCCCCATGCAGTCTCTGGACCTCCTACTACCTGCCTGAGACAGAATACCCCCAAGGGTAGCCTGGGCAAAATGATGTGCTTCTTGTAGTCTGTTGTTAGCCCTGACCCTGACACCTGTGGGCAGAGCAGGACCTGTGCCAGTCTAAACCACCCAGGGGAGATTAAATATGAGTGTTGCCTCTGCCACTGTCCACATTCACAGAGCAAGGAGTCTATTGTGGGCAGCGGCTGCTGCTGCTGTCGCGTAGGGAGGGATCCAGCCATAAGACTTGCACTTGGCCTTGTGCTAGCCCAGGGAGAGAGAAGTGAGGGATGTAGCATGCTGGCAGACCGAGTCTTGTGGCTGGTGTCAAGTGTAGAGCTGGGCTGACCCTCACTGCCCAGCTTGGCTCAGGGGCAGCCAGCAGCCCCTCAGAAGAGCCCCCTCACCCAAAGGCTTAAGGTGACTCAGCTCACAGAATTAACAAAACAGGTGACATCACTTTTACCCAGAAAAACCCTTAGATTTCTGAGAATTGAGCAAATGCAGTAATGTATGTGGAAATTAAAAGCCCCGAGTGCCCTGCTTCTGAGAGCACAAAGCTTGTTCTGTCTGCATGAGGTGGTAGTCGCCATGAGGGCCTGTCCTCACGTGCCCTGACAGAGCAAGGTGCCATGGAGACCCTCAGTTGCTGCAGAATTCTCCAGGGTCACAGCCCTCTGCAGGGTGGCCGTGCCCCCACACCACATTCTCTCCTCAGTGATCTGCTACCTGGCCATGTTCCAGCTGGACGAGCTTGGCTTCCAGCTCTTCCGCAGTATCATCAAGTCCCAGTCTGTGGGCAAGACGTGCAAGGTGAGTCCCACCGCCTCCACTGCAGGGCAGTAGGCTTCTGACCAGGGAGGACAGGAACCAGAACCAGAGGCATCTGATCAGTCACCTACCTCTGACTCTCTAACCAGAGGTGGGTTCTTCCTTCTCTACTTAATACCAAATGAAGCTCTCTGTCTGGGACAATATGCTTTCTGTCTCAGGAGATCTGACTCTACTCGGTTGCTCTATAAAGGACACACTTTCCAATCTGCACATAAATGTAAGTAGCCCATGATGGATCAGTACTTGCAGTCATCTTAAGCTAAGCAAGGGTATCATTTTTATGACAAAAAAAGCAAAATTGGTGGCATCTTCCAAGAGATGCCTTAAGACTGCCCTTCCCACTCCTACACTCAGCAAGACCTGCACTTGGCTCATTCTGTTCCCATGCTAAAATCCTTACCAACTGCTGAGCAAACAGCCCCCTTGCATCCTGCCCGGGACCCAAAGTGCTGACTCACCAGATGCTTGGGGTGCAGACCACACACTGTATGTACTGAGTCTGTGCAGTGCCTAGTCACTGAGCAGGCTAGGGAGCTCTGGAGACCCATGGCAGCAGCCTACAAAACCTACATGGGAGCCGAGCCATGGTGCCTGTAAGTGGAGAGATTTGAAAGGCTGAGACAGAAAGATGAAAAGTTCAAGACTAGCCTGGGCTACACAGTGGGACCCTGTCTCAAAGCTTAAAAAAAAAAAAAAAAAGCCTTGAGACTTCAGTAGAGTACCTGCCCAAGCCTCTCTGGGATCAAAGGAAAAGCTCCAAGGACCCAAGCTGCCTAGGTAAGATGGTGACGAGCCCCAGACCGTCGATGATCTACCTACACTCCCATGCCCCACTGGGTGACTGTGGTCCCTTCAGTGTCCTCTACCTGCCTCGGACTCAAGAAAGATGCCAGATGGGCCCTGAAGATGGAGACCCACTCTAACAAGGTGGCCTCCCTTGGGTACTGTCACTACTACAGACAGGAGTGTTCCCAGGCTGCTTCGCAGGCAGCTCTGTCCATGGCATCCACATTCTGATATAGCAGGCGGAAGGGCCGGAAGTCTCTACCACCCAGGAACCCCATATTCATCATACTCATTCACTAATGGGACCTGCCAGACAGTCAAAGGACTTTTTTTCTTCTTTTTCTCTTTTTCTTTTTTTTTTTTTTGGCGGGGGGAGGTCTTTTTGAGACAGGGTTTCTCTGTAGGTCCAGCTGGCCTGGAACTCACTATGAATTCAGAGATCCGCCTGCCTCTGCCTCCCAAATGCTAGGATTAGAGCTATATGTCACCATACCTGAACAAAGATTTATTTATTTATTTATTTATTTATTTTTGGTCTTTTGAGACAGGGTCTCCCTGTAGCCCCAGCTGTCCTGGAACTCACTTTGTAGACCAGGCTGGCCTTGAACTCACAGAGATCCGCCTGCCTCTGCCTCCCGAGTGCTGGGATTAAAGGCGTGAGCCATCACACCAGCTTCATTTTTGTTTTTAAGTATGTCTGAGTGCTGTGTCTGTGGTGTGTGTATGTGTGTGTGTGGTGTGTATGTGAGTGTGGGTGCCCTCAGAGTCCAGAAGGAGGGTATAGGATCCCCTGGAATTGAAGTTACAGGTGGTTGTGAGCTACCAACATGGATGCTAGGAACCAAACTCAGATCCTCTCCCAGAGCAGTACACACTCTTAACTTCTGAGCCATCTCTCCAGCTCCCCCAAGAATCAAAGGGCTTTCTCAAACCCACAGGGAACCCCATCCCCATTCCAGCAGGGTCCCTGGCAGCATGGTCCCATACCTATGAAAATGGTGGCCTCAGCCCTGCTGAGATGCTGATGTGAGGATGTGAGGAGGGATGGAGGGACAGATAAGAAACCTGAATGGGACTGCCCAGATGTCAGTGGACCAGAGGTAGAGATGGGGACCCCAAGTCCAGCCACAGGGGCTAACTACCCACTTCAGGGGCTGTGGGATAGCCAGGCTGACAATTGGAAGAGTATTAGAAAGAGGACTGATGGATAGTGGCCATGGGCAAGAGCTAAGAAGTCCCCTGTGGGTTTGGGAAGATAGGAAGGGGCCACTGGGGTGGGTGAGGGAAATGGGCAAGCAGTCAAGTGTGGGAGCTGTGGAAGGCTCTAGGAGGCCTTAGAAGCCTCTGTGTGGAGTAGGCCTGGGTGCTGAGAGGAGAGTGGAAGCTGGTGAGGACGGTAGTCACACTGGGGAGGCAGCAGTGACCAGAAGCTCTGCTCAGTCTTGCTCACCATTGTCCTCTTGGTTGACCATGCACGTGGAGTCACTTCCCAAATATGCTTCCTGCTCTCAAGTCCCAGAAGTGTGTTTGTAACCCCACAAAGCTCTCCCCTGGGCTCTGGCATGTGGTCCTTGGGTTCTACAAACAGTGGCATCAGTGCAGCCCCAGAGTCCTTGACTGTCCCTTCTGATTGGTTCTTTGGGGATCTGTATCAAGGGGTCTCCAGGAATCCCCTCAACTGTACAAGACCCCTTAGGCTAGGATGTATTTACAGCTTCATGGATACCCTCTGAAGAGTATCCCCAGGGGTCCCAGGCTAGTTTCCCCACAGGTGGGTACTGAGGGCCTGAGTTTGTATCCCAGTCATCCAGAGGCTGCCTCCTAGGACTGGACCCCTGTCAGCCCTGCCTTGTGTAAGGGTGGCTTCCAGCTCCCTAAGGGTCCTACTCCCCCTGAGAAGCTAAAGCAGCTGTGTACCTTCCAGGGCCACAGGTTTAGACTTGGGGACCAGGAGTTGGGAGCAGCCTGCAGGTCACAGCACTGGGAATCTCCCAGGACTGCCTCTGAGTTACCCAAGGTTATCACAGGCCCCTAACTAGGGAGTGCAACCTCAACCCCAGGACTGAGACCAGACACCCACTGTGAGGGTGGAGCGACATTCCACCTTCTGGGAGTGAACAGGCCTGAAGGGTTCTGCCTTCTTGCACTGCAGTGCACTGGTAGCAGGATTAAGGGACACAGAAAAAAGAGATAATTTTATTCCCAGAATTCCAAAGCCCACCAAGGGCAAAACAGAAGGCAACAGCTCTCCATGTGTCCCTGCAACATCATGTTCAGAAGTGGAATGAAGGGCCTCCCAGGTCTAGGAGCTTGGTGGGAGCAAGGACATGGCAGGCAGGAGCCCCTCCAGGCAACAGGAATATCCTGAGGGGCGAGGTCTCTTCAACGATCTGCAGGAGTGACAACTGGTGTCATACTCTGTTCTGGCCCCTGTGAGGTGCTATGGGACATCAGTGGGCATCATCCAGGCTGTAGCTGAGTTGCTCAGGCCTCTCCCCACCTTAGTTCCTCAGGTTCTTATTCAGCCCCATGAACCTGTGTTCATGGATCAAGGATGAGTGGAGCCTTGTCTACGAGACAGCCCATGTGAAGGAGAGCTGGATCGATCCTCTGATGAGGTGAGTCCAGCAATGGCAGGGCACTGGATCCCTGAGAATTATCCGTGTCCACTCCTTCACCATGGGTGGGGGCCTGCCTATGGAAGCTCTGTAGGGAGCCAGATTGTGAAAGCTCCAAGATACCATGAGCCTACATGGTACCACAGCCTGTGACAGGGACAGTAAGCTGTGTTCCCCCAACCTACCAGACCCTGGGCCCAGCCCTGCAGTGGCCAGTGAGAGCCCCTTGCTGGGTAGCCTCGATCCCTCTGGGTAGCTCTGGTACTGCAGGTGAAACAGGAACTATTTCAAGTCATATATCCGTCCCGGTGAGTCCAATGGGAGGGGACGCTGGGCAGGCTGGTGATGATCCACTCAGGGTGTGGAAAGTGAAGTGGGAACACCCAGACCTCTGGGCAACCCACCAAGGCCCTTCCAACACCCCTGCACCCTGAAGCTGAGCCCAGGACAGCTGGGCTCCCTTTAGGGGACTGTGATCCTCGCTTTACCCAATATCTACAGCTCCTTCCACCTGTCAGCAGCAGTGCTATTCCAGAACATTCCTTCCCCTTCCCCAGCCTCCCTTCCCTGCTCCCAGCTTCCTCCACCAGTGCCATCTGCTCTGCCTAGACTAGCTCCATGCCCCAGCTGTTGCTTGTCCAGAAAGCCCTACACTCCTGCTGTGGGGATGTCCCAGCTTCCCAGGTCCCTGTCCTCAGGGACTCTGGGCCCATTTCCTCATCTGTGCAAAGGGAAGATTGATGTATACCAAAGGTGTGGCTGGACTGCACCCACAAGTATAGTCAGGGGTTGCCTGTTTACCACCTTACCCTGAGGGACAGCCAAACACTTGGGGGTCCTTCAGATCCCTTGAACCAGCTTAGGTCCTTGGGGACCTACTTAGGATGTAACTCCAGGGGTATCTCCACTTTTGCCTTCAAGATGGCAGCCAGAGGTCCAGGAGCTGATCAACCAACTGGAAGGAGCACCACTTGATCAAACCCCTCTCTCAAAGACCAAGGCCAAGGTCACAGAGCCCAAGGAATTCAATTTGACCATCCCCAAGCCTCGTGCCATTCCAATGCCTGAGATTATTCCCACTGTGGCCAAGCCAAGATCTGTGAGTTGGGCATAGGCCCCCACCACCAGCATGTTCAGGCTGGGCGAATGGACGCAGGGGTCACTGGGAGGCTGGGCTTCTCTAGTGCCAAGGGTGTATTGAACCAGACCAGAGCATTCAATGACCCATACCCACACCCATACCACATGGAAGGGAAGCTAGTTGACCCACTGCCCACCACATTCAGAGCCCAATAAGAAGGTACTGAGCAACAGTGTCAGGCCATGGGTTCAGACTTGCCTGGAGTTCACCTTTAGCCGTGGTAGACACACACACACACACACACACGATAGTGCTATTCAGGTCACAGTATAGATGTTCTGTGTGCCACGGGCAGGGGTGTCTCGCAAGAGTGCCAGTAATCCTGCTCCCCACTCAGGAGAAATGCACATCTGTCTCCTCTGCTGAGAGTCTCTCCATCCTCCTGTTTGCTTTGCTTACTTACCAGTCAGGATGCGCCAAGCTGCAAGAAACAGAAAAGTGAAGTTCAAACTGGCTTGGACAAGTAGAGCACTGGCTAACTTTCCTGACTAAAGTAGGAATAGCCTTCAGGCATGGCTGGATCAGGGTTCCAGCTCTGTTTCTGTGACTACCTCCACCTTAATCTCCTTTGTAAGTGAGCTTCATCTTTATGTTAACTTCTTCATTTTAGTTTAAAAAAAAATTTAAAAAAAAAAACAGGTCTCAGGCTGGAGAGATGTCTCAGCAGTTAAGAGCACTGACTGCTCTTGCAGAGGACCCAGGTTCGATTCCCAGCACCCACATGGCAGCTCCAGTTCCAGGAGATTCCAAAGCCCTCTTCTGACCTCCACGGCATTGCATGACAGAGGTGCACTCACATACATGCAGGCAATGCACTCACACACATAAAATAAAAATAATAAGGGGCTGGAGAAATGGTTCAGTGGTTAAGAACACTGACTACCCTTGCAGAAGACCCAGCAACCACATGGCAAACAACTGTCTGTAACTCCAGTTCCAGGGGATCCAGCAGCCTCTTCTGTCCTCCACAGGCATTGCATGACACGGGTACACTTACCTACATACAATATATGCATACACTGACTTGGTCATTTGTTTTATGAGAGCAACAGAAAAATAACTAATGGGCAAGAGAGTTGGCTCAGCGGTTAAGAGCACTGACTGTGCTTGCAGAGGACCTGGGTTCGATTCCCAGAACCCACATGGCAGCTATAAAACATCTTAACTCCAGTTCCAGGGGAATCCAAAACCCTCTTCTGACCTCCACAGCATTACACGACACAGGTGCACTCACACACATGCAGACAATATACTCGTACACATTAAAAAAGGGGGGGGGCTGGGCGTGGTGATGCACGCCTTTAATCCCACCCAGTACTTGGGAGGCAGAGGCAGGCAGATCTCTGTGAGTTTGAGGCCAGCTTGGTCTACATAGTTCCAGGACAGCTGGGGCTACAGGGAGACCCTGTCTCAAAAAGACAAAAAAATAAAAACAAAAACCCAGGTCTCATGTCCACATTAGTAGCCAGGAATTCTTGGAAAATGTCCAATTGAGCCAGCTCAGGCCTCATGCCTGCTTAAAATGGTCATCATTCTGGGTGCTGTGCTCTGACTAGACCTAGAATTTCCCCAGTCACTGGTAGTAGACTTAGCCTCCCAGAGTCAGTCACAGGACCAAGGACTGTACATGAGTATGAATTGGGGAAGGGGGTGTGGATGGATATCTCAGGTTACACCCCAGTTCCTCCATCCTTCAAATCTCATTAAAAATCTCTCAGCCCATGCCAGGCATGGTAGTGTACACCTTTAATCCCAGCACGGGGGAGGCAGAGACAAGTGGATCTCTGTGAGATCAAGGCCAGCCTGGTCTACACAGTGAGTTCCAGGCAGCTGGGACTACAGGGACTCCCTGTCTCAACAAAACAACAAAATCTGTCATCCCAGAAACTTTTGATGAACCCTCAACTCTACTGAGTCTCTTGCTTGGTCCCTCCTCCTTGACCCAGCTTCTTTTCTTCGTGGCATTGGTGTTTATAGTTTGTGGATCTGCTTACTGTCTGGCTCTTCCACCACACTGCATCCATTTTATTTGTGCCACATTCCCAAAACAGCTGGCAAAGACCTGGCTTAGAAAAAACCCTCAGTAAATGAATACCTGCTGGTTGGATAGATGGGTAAAAAAGTGGATAAATGGACGGAAGGATGGATGAGTGGATGGATGGATGGATGGATGGATGGATGGATGGATGAGTGGATGGATGGATGGATGGATGAGTGGATGGATGGATGGATGGATGAGTGGATGGATGGATGGATGGATGAGTGGATGGATGGATGGATGGATGAGTGGATGGATGGATGGATGGATGAGTGGATGGATGGATGGATGGATGAGTGGATGGATGGATGGATGGATGAGTGGATGGATGGATGGATGGATGAGTGGATGGATGGATGGATGGATGAGTGGATGGATGGATGGATGGATGAGTGGATGGATGGATGGATGGATGAGTGGATGGATGGATGGATGGATG